ATGGAAAAAGAAGGGGGGAAAAAAAAAAAAAAAAAAAGCTCTTCCATCTCCCCTCCCTGCCTACGCTAAAGAGGGAGTATTTGGCAGAAAGTACATCTGGGCCATGGGGGTGAGGGCCAGGAGAGGCAGGGACCCCGGTGGTGGGATTTCCGATGGTTTGGTTTGGTCAGCACAAAGAGGGGCAGGGAGCCCCGTGCCCGTGGGCCAGGGCTCCGAGGGATTGTGAAGACCCCGGTCTGAGATGGGTTCGACATACTCGAATGTTTACCCGGCTTCAAGGAAGCCAAGAGTCTGGGATTAATTCACATTCATTTCAGGCTCAAGGTTAAAGACTCACAACCTCTTTTAATTTCACTCTCTCTTGCTGAACTCTGTGTCCAGGGTTCTCTAGCCCTCTAGGGAAACAAACACAGGGCATATTCAGACAGCGGAGAGGTCTAGGGTCCCCCCACCAAGAAGCAAGCCATTTTCTCGCCAACCCAAGAGTGCACTCCATTTCAGTTCCCAAAATGCTAGTGGAGGTACAGCTTTCTTTCCTTCCCACTGTCTTCATTTCTCCCCCTAATAGTGTGAACTCCTGGCCCCAGGAGCCCTCAGAACCGGGAATCTGAAGGGGAAGTGGGAAGCGGAGGGACCCTCCCTGCCTAGCAAGGGGCGGCATCCCCAGCATGGTGGGGCCTGCCCTGTGGGTCCCGCCCTAGGCTGGCTGGTTTGAAGGAGCAGGACTTCCACTGCTGGACGTGGGGCCCAACTCGGACGGGTAAATGTAAGGATGGTCTGAGAAGAGTAAGGAGTTTGAAGAGAGGAGGTGTAGCCGCCCCCGGGGCAGAAGTCGAAACACCAATGTCAACCATCAGAGGGGAGATGCCCTTCTCCCAGTCCCCGCTAGGTGGCAGAAATCCAAGCAGAGGGGAAGCTCTCTCCTGGCCGCCCTAACCCTTGGGTGACCGGCTCCTTGTCCTTGTAGAAGGCTGTGGTGAGGACATGGATCCTGGAATGGGAAACCAAACTCTGTGGGCCCCAGGACTGTGGCCTGACTGGGCAGTGGTGTGCAGTGGTGAGGAGGAGGAGGGCCTCTGAGGGGGGACCTTGTGCTGACGGTGTGATCTGGCCAAGTCTGCGTCTTGCTCTGTTAAAAGGGCGTGTGGTCAGCTCTCTTGTGCCCAGAGGGTCTGCCTCCCTGGATTCAAACAACAACAGATAGAAAAATGTGACCTTCTTGCTGATGTGGGCTACACGGTTGGGCCACAGATGTTTGAATCTGGGCTGAAATGACAAGACCTTTCTCCTTGTCATTCCCCCCTCATCAATAGAGTCTACCTACTAGCCGGTCATCGGAAAAGTCACGCCACATTTTTGCACAGGTCACGACTTTTCCGGTGACCCGATATTTACATGGGATTTACCGTGTATTGTTCACTCGATTGCATTAAGTATTATAAAACAAGCTTGAGAGGATTTAAAGGATGCGGGAAGAGGTGTGTAGGTTATGCGAACACTACGCTACTTTAAGGAGGATTTGAGCATCGTGGAGATTGGCATCTGCAGGAGGTCCTAGGATCTGTCACTGCGGAGATCCAGGGATGGCCCCACTCTGACTGCGGACACGAGGCGTGTGTGAAGCAAACGGAGTGGGAACTGCCTGGGAGATGCTGAGTGGGCGTGAGGTTGAGGCATTAGGAATGGGCATGGAGGGACAGACAGACTCATGTTTGAGCGAGTCCTAAGAGAAAAGCCAGAGGGCACTCTGGAATTCCTCCTTGAACATCCCGGCGCCAGCCCGACTAACTGCCGTGCTCACCACATGCACCTGTCTGTCTGGGGCACCCCGCTTCAGGGCTGCTCCAGGAGGGGTGTGTGCTGGGGTCACCCCAATGCATGAGCCAGAAATCAGCCCCCAGTGCGCCCACCTGGCCCCAGTCTTTGTGGTCAACTCTTGAGAACCCAGGGACAGTGGCTGGGGAGGAGGTCAGGCTGACCAGCCTCTTTGGGATCCCGTAGAGAAGGAACCTGGGCTCCCCGCCGAAGCTGGGGTCACCGTGGGACACGGGGGCTGGATCTGCCTGGAGGAGGTGGGCGGAGGGATGGGAAGCCAAGGGCTGGCTAAGCGGGCCCAGGATTGACCCTCTCGAATGGTTTTACCGATGGCACAAAAGCCAGGGCAGGGCCGAAGTTGCCAGGGACTGAACGGACAGCTCCTGCTGCTAGACTGTGGTGGCCCAGAGGAGGGCTGAACCCAGGAAGGACCGCTGAAGGCCCAGGGAGGACAGCTGGGCTCTGTCATGGCCAGCGTGACATGCCGTGCTCCAAGAGGGAGGCCAAGCCTGGGTGGACAAAGCACTGAGCTTGGACCCAGGAGCCAGGCTCCAGGTGGGAATCGAAGGAACGGGTCCCTCCGAGTGGGCACGGGTGGTCACTGCCCTGGGAGACAGGCGGCAGTGCTGAGCAGGGCCAGAGCTAAGTGGTGCAAGAGCGGAAAGACGTGGGAAGGCCAGCCGGGGTGGTCCACCCGGGCAGTGAGAGCTCTCCCGTCTGAAGGGGATGGTGAGGGCATGGACCAAAGTGTTCCCTGCTCTGACAAAGCCTGGCCGTGATCTCCCAGTGACAGTAACTCCGGTGTCCTCGAGGAAACCTAGCTCAGGCACCATCTGCTCAAATACAGCTCCATTTTATCTGGTTTCCCCAGCACGTTTTTTTTTTTTTTTTTTAGCTTCCACGCCAATGACTAAATAGAGCCCCTCGTCTGTCTGTGCCCTTCCTGTCAGCTTGCAGACAGAGCAGAATGGCTTCCACAGAGAGGACCTGGACGTGAGCGCACGCCATCATCGGGGCCTCTGCGGCCCGCGCCTCCTGCTGGACAGCCAGGGCGGAGCAGCTCCCATCCAGCACGGGCCTGGTCCTGCACCGTGGGGGGGTGGGGGGGGGTGGTGTTCCGGTTCTGCTTGGGGACAGAGGCACTTTATAACAGTACCAAGAGATGAGGCTGGGCATCTATTTCTCATCAGAGAGGTCGGAGGCTGGTGTCCGTCCGAGTGGAACAGCACACGGGTCTCCCTTGCAGCCTGGGAGGGCCTGACTAGAGACGGCAAGGGAGGCAGGTGGGAAATGGACACTTAGTCCCCCTGGGCCCGGAGCACAGAGACTTCTGGAAAGATCTAGACAGGGCCAGAGATGAGAGAGCCAGGTCAGAAGTGGGGCATGAGGAGGTGAGCTGGGCCGGAGAGGGAGATGGAGGAGGGCTTAGAGTCCCAGGCTGTCGCTTCGTCAGAGAAGAGCAGTGTGCAAGAGGTTAGACCGGGACCCGGCCGGGACATGAAGCTCTAGCCTCTGTTTTCTACCTGCGGTAAAGCTACGGGGGCCAAACGTATGCCTTCCAGGAAGGAGTCAGGACCCAGCTGCAAGGAGGGTTTCTGTGAGGTGGGGAGGGACAGAGATCCTAAGCTCCTGGGGTGGGACCTCCAGCTGACCTCTCTCCTGCTCTGACCTTGGCTCAACTACGCCTTTGACCACGACCCCTGGTGTTGACGGTGCTCCCAGGCCAGTCGGGGAACCCTCGATGAGGGGCATCTCTTGGTTGGACTCCCCTGTGACCAGCTGTGACCCCGAGGGGCTTTTACTCCTTGGCCCATGGTAACTGTTCACCTGACCTGACTACAAGACGGACCTGGCTGACTCCGAGTCCTCTCCTCCCAGGCCTGGCTCTTCCTGACCTAGTCTGCCCCTAGACCAGTGGGCCAGCATATGCTCCCCTGTGGCTGCTGGGACCCTGTGGCAGATTGGGGCCCCTTGACCAACGGCGATCCTTTGGCTGACCCAGTCTTTGTGACCACTTGTGACCCCCTATAGCCCCCTGACTGGTTGTAGCCCTGGCCCTGACCCAGCTACCCCTGCCCGCCGAGTGATTGTCACCCCTGACTGGTAGGATCTCCTGACCAACTGTGACCCTCTTCATTGGCTATAACCCTTCAGCCCCCTGGGCCTAACAATGACCAGCTGCCCCCCCCATGTCCTCTGATGCCCCAGCCCCTGCCCGCTGCCCGCCCAGGAGCTGGCGTGGGAGGCGCCAGCAGGAGGCGGTAAGGAGTCACACTCACGCCCAGCTGCAGCAGGAGGAAGGCTGGTCGGAGAGGAAAGAGCATTGGACAACGACACGTGACTAGGGCTAGAGAGATTGGCTACGTCCTGGCTCTGGCTGGTGACGGAGGACTGTCTCCGCAGGGCCCCCTGGAAGGAGGCCCCGCTCTTGAAAGTATTGACTACTTCAATCTGCAACGGAGGAGAGAACGAGACAAGTTGCGAGAAGAACGGACACAACAGCTACACGACAGACGGGCGCAACATCACAAAAACAGCCGCAGGCAACGATGACAAGTCACTTAAATCAAAACAGAAGACACCAGACACACCCAAGGCTCTGAAAGAGGTCTGCTCAGCTGCGGGCCCCGGTAGGCCCCGGGGTCCTGGAGTCCCTGCCTTCTCTGGCCCCAGTGGGTCCGGGCCGAGGGGCTGGCTGAGGCCGGGGGTGGTGGTGAGTGAACGGGGTGTTTGCAGGGAAGAGAGGGGGTGGTTGAACATGGCGTTGGCTCAGCCTCCCTTGGGCCCGGTGCCAGAGTGTTGTGGTGGGGCTCTACTGCTTACTGGCCAGGTGACCTTGGGCGACTCACCTCTGCGAGTCGAGTTCTTGTCCCTAGGGAGGGGCAGTCCCTCCAGCCTGGCAAAGCCCTCTGCAGGTGGCAATGCCCCCGGCCCACATGGGTGCTCAGTGGGAGACAGCCGAGGTGGGCTCCCGTACCCATTCAGGAAACTACGGTCCCGCTTCCTCCTGAAACGTGGCCAGAGCGGAGGGCAGTGTGCACTGAGAGCTGCCAGGCCCTTGCAGGGGCCGTCTGGGAGGGCTGGCTACTGGGGTCCTCATCTGGGGAGGATGCCCAGCCTGCATCGGTGGCTCTCGAAGACTGCATGTGTGTGTACACGGGGGTAACCAACCTCTGCGCCCCGGGACCACCTCCAGGGCAGCGTGCGGCGCCCCGTGGGGGCAGAGCACGTGTGCGCGTGCGTGCGTAAAGGTGCCTACAGCTCACCGGCTGACCACAGTCCTGGGAGAAGCAGGGGCCCTTGCACCGCCCCTCCTGGTGGCTGCCCCCAGTCCTGATCCTCAGTCCCCTCACTCACCTCGGACCTCAGAACCACCCCTTCCCTACTTTCTCAGAAGACTCCTCCCACAAAGCCAAGGTGGGGGACCTCCACTGTGACCCCAGGCAGGGCTGAGCAGGCTTAAGGGAATTTCGTGAGAAGGTTGCTCTGCTGTGAAGCAGCCGCGAGAGTGTGAAGAACTTGGGGAACCATGGTTGGTGACATGGGGACAGCGGTCTGGGGCCCAGCAGTCTGGGTGTCCTCCCTCAGCCGTAGAGCCCTGGGGTGGCAAGAGCTCACTCACCTGGGTCACCCGGCCCGCCCCGGCCAGGCCTGGGCCCAGCCCTGCCAGCCTCCTGTACCTGAGTTTGGATCCGATTCAGGCCCCGGAACCAGAGAGTCTGGCCCCGCCGCAGCTCCCGCTCCGCGTGGTCGATCTCCTCCACGTCCTCGTTGAGCTCCTCCTCCGGAATCTCCTCCTTCTGCGTGAGCCTGCCGGCCTCCTTGAGGAACTTGAGCCTGCTGGTCGGGATGGTGGCAATGACCTGCAAGGGACCCAGCCCGTGAGGGTCCTGGGGCTGTCCAGCAGCCGTCTTCTCTCCCTGACCGCCCCTCCTTCCTCTCTCGTCCCCTCCTCTTACCAGCTCACCTAGTCATGTGACCAACTCTCTCCTGGACCCACCTCGCCCACTTGTCAGCCCTATCTTTTATAAGTGTCCTATTTGCTTTGTAATTCATTTATGCAGAGTCAGGGGGACAGAGTGGAACGCCTTGGCAGATGGGACTTGAACACCCAGGCCACACTGGTCACGTGACCTTGGGAGGTTGTTGGGCTTCCCTGAGCTTTGGCTTCCCCATCTGTAAGGCCAGGGGCAGACTAGGAATTGTGAGGATTAACAAAATGAGCCTGGCCCGTGGCTGTCCCTCAGTCTTTTGGTCTCGTGGCCCTTGAGGACATCAGTCCCTGGGGACTGGAGGCTCAGGGCTGGGGGTCCTGGGGCAGCCCATCCTGGACTGGAAGGCAACTAAGCAAACAGAGATGCCTTCGTTCTCAGCCTTCGCCTGAAGGGCTTGTCCTGGGACTTAGCCTGAGAGGTGGGCCCTGTGGGGAGCTCAGGTGGCAGATGCCAGGGGTCCCTGCAGCTCCCACGGAGAAGGATGGGCTGTCCTGAGCACTCTGCCTTAGGGTTCCCTGGGAATTCAAACTCAGCGCTGCTCACTGGCATCGATTTCAGTCCATGCAAGTGAGAGCTCCTGACAGCGTGGGCCCCCCGGATAAAGACTCACGCAGCACTTCTCCCCAGCACTATGCCCTGAGTCAGGAGACTCGGAGCTGCAGGCTGTCAGAGCTGTGTGTGTGTGCACACGCGCACACACGTGAATGCATGTGAGTCTGGATATTGGGCAGACGCAGGGAAGGGAACTGGTGGGAGAATGTTCTGAGGTCAAAGCTGGAAGGGCCCCTAGAGAGCACCCAGCTCGAGGTCCCTAAAGCTGGAAGAGTTCATGGCTCATGACCATGGGGCAGCACTGAGCTCCTTCCTGTTGCACAAGCCGCTTCAGGCTCTCTGGGCCTGGGCAGGCCGGGGTGTGCGGTGAGAGTTTAATAGCATCAGCCTCGCTGCATCGATTTTTCGTTAGCTTCTATTTAGGACAAGGGATACCGATTTTCCAGACATGTTTGTAATGTAACATTGTAACATGTTTGTAATATAACATTGCTTTCTGAAATAAATTTCAGTTAAAAAATAATTTCAGTTAAAAAATAAAATCCAGCAGATGGCATAGTAGTTAAGGTGTTGGACTCACACATGGCTGACTTCATTTTGAGTCCTGGACCTGGTGGTTTAAAACTCACACCGGGCGTGCGTGCGTGCGGGCCCAAAATCCCAGGAGGAGAATGGAGAAGAAGGGATTGCAGCGTGGCCATGCCCCCACCCTGGGGGGTAATTTCTCGCTTTCTGTCTCACTTCCCAGCAAGTACACATGCCCTATAGCAAAAGTCTCTTTAACAAAACAGAAACCTGACACAACTGAAAGAAAAAATTCAGCAAGGGACCGCCCCCATCGCTCAGACACCCAGAGATGGTGAGGGTCTTGCCTGGGTCAGGCAGTGAGTCTGTGGCAGAGCCCGGACCCAGTCCTGGGGCTCTGGGCTTTCCAGAGCCCTTTCCCTTCTGCTCAGAGGTGCCTCCTGCGCCGAACTCACCTGGCCCCAGACGAGCTCTCCTAACCCGATGAAAATGCACCACATCCACTGGTCCAGCTGCAGCGGAGAGCAGCTGAACGGCTTCCCTCCGAACTGCACGATCACTATCTGGAGGTCAAAGAGGAGCAAGAGACAGGGACAGAGAGACGTGGCCCTCAGGGGCTGGCACGGGGGGCTGGGGCTCTGAGGGCACCGCCGAGTGCTCTGCCCGGCCCGGCCCGGGCC